CGTCCGCAGGTCCAGCCGATCGCTGATCCCACTGGCCGTGGTTCGCTGCTCCAGGCCAATGGAAGCTGCTGGAAGCGGTGGCCAATAAGTCCCTCAGTCCATGCCGCTTCCTGCGGCTCCCATTGGCCTGGAGCAGCGAACCACGGCCAGTGGGAGCCGCGATCGGCCGGACCTGCGGACGGGGCAGGTAAACAAACCAGCCCGGCCCGCCAGGGGATCTCTCTACACAAGCGGTGTCCCAAGTTTGGGAAACACTGATCAAGAGTAATAGCAAAAAGAAATTGTGAGAAGAAAAAGTGAAAATCAGTTTAGTCTATTATATGAAGAATTTTTTGCTGAAGTAAGATACTCTCACCTTCTTTGTTTTCCTGTTGCTGCTGTTGCTTCTTTTTCTTCTTGTCTTCATAAATTGGCCTCTTCTTTGGCACAGAATCTTTTGATGGCACTTCAACACCTGCAAAATGAGAATTAGAACAGTTCAAAGACTACAATGAATAGAACTAACCTGTAGATTAGTGACCAAGTTGGCAAACTAAAGATAAGATTTGGTTTAAATTAAATTAAAGATCAAAATTTTCCAAATCTGCACAAATTTAGGCTAAATGCATATTTAGACACCCAAGTGGCCTGATTTGCAAGAAAGTTCCAACGACATGCACCTTCATGTGGCATTTGCGGGTGCTCATAACCTCTGGATAAAAGGGGTCAGGTCACTTATGCTTAGGAGTCTAACATTAGGTACCCAGGTTTGAAACTTTTGACTGAGGTTTACATTTGGTCCCACAAACATAGACATTTCAAATTTAGCAGTGATAAGGCATCACCAGTAAAGGATCCTCTATTCTGGAATTCACTTCCAACTGGCCTAACAGCAAACCTTGTTTTAGGGCCTTTAGGCTTCTTACCTGCCCTCTCTCGTTTCTTAAGCTTTTAAAGAAGGCTAAGTAGGTAGTATTTTGCCTGTTGGTATAAGTATTATGCTTCTGAAGTTACATAATTGTGTGCCAAGACATAAGCGAAAAATGAAGACCAGTGCCTTCATTTTCTACCTCATCAGAAAGATGGGACCTCCAGTGGCACTCTTCCCTCGTTTGCTTTAAATTAACTTTCAGCATGAGAGCAAAAAGTTGACGTAGTGCAAGAGGGAAGGATTGCCACTGAAGTACCACAAGTATTTGCTGTAACAACCTAGGTTCCTCTTAAATACCTTCCACTCAGTTATTACCTAGACCAAACCCTGCAAAGTTTGAGATCTGACAAGATTACACAGAGGAGTGTAATTTTGCAATGAGTCAGCAGGATTCCAGAGGAAGTTAGTTATAAACTACAGCAGTAAATGTACAGAAATTCTGGGCCTTAATGAGGTTTTTTTATTAAAAAAAATTCCAACAACTCTTGCCAGAGTCCCTAAATGGTTTGAATCCTGAATACTTGAGAGCACTTCTCTTTCAGTAAGATAACATGTAGTTATGATCAGTGGAGGCACTCAAGCTAGTTTCCTCCAGATTTAAAGGTAAGAGATCTCGCCTCTGGAATTCACTTCCTCCCTTAGTCTGCCATGAACCAAAATTACTTACTTTCAATACATGCTGCAAGACTCATCTAATTTTTCTGGCCTTTGAGATTGGGATGTCCAAGAAAGTGATACTTCATAGGCATTTATTTTTGGCTGTAACTGATGTACAGATTAAGGTGGCAAATATAACATATTAGCCAATTTTCCCTTCTGGAGCAGTGACCAGGGGAGATGGTCCAAGGCCAGCACTGGGCCCGCTGGAGCAGCAGCCAGGGTTGGGTCAGCCCTCCCAGGGCTGGAGCAGCAGCAGTCAGTCTCTGCCGCAGGAGCAGTGGAGGAGCTGGAGCAGCTGCAAGCCCTGGCAGCGCTGTTTGTGGTCCCACCACCCCACAGTATTTTGAGTAAAAGTCAGGGAAAGATTGCAGGCTTCTGTGAATTTTTGTTTATTGCCCACAACCTGTCCCTGATTTTTACTAAAAATACCTGTGACAGAATCCTAACTTTAACTATTGTTAATAAATCTGAAATAAAAATATTGCTTTTCTTGGCCATAGAAACACAGTAGTTTTACACATGGCATTTTTGGGTATATTCTGCTTGAAGCAACATGGGACCTAGACAGCAGAAGGATCTGCAAAGTTTTCCTTGAGCAATAAGTGCACAAGAAGAGTTTAGATTTTACAAGACTACTTACCCTGAGCTTGGAGTAGTTTAAGAGTAGCCTCTGCTCTGGCTCTAGCTTCTCGCTGGGATTTAGTTAAAAGTTTTCCCTCCTTTTTCAAGCGCTCTTTTCTCTCTTTCTCTTTTTGTTTCTTCCTTTCTTTTCTTTCTTGTTCCAAACGTTCCTAGGGAAGTAAACAGTGATATGGAAAAATATCACTATGCATTTTTATGATTTATTGAGTTAGTTATCAAACTACAAGGATTTATTACAATTTATAGCTGGCAAGAAGGGAGACCTTCCCCTACTTTCAGTGAGTTTTCACTGTATACATAGTAAGGGCCTAATCCTGCAGCAGACTGAGTGGGGGTGCACCACTTCTCTACCTAGGGTTACCATATTCAAACATTTAAAAAAGAGGACACTCCAGGGGGCCCCGGTCCCACCCCTTCCCCGCCCCTGGCCCCGCCCCAACCCCACCCCTTCTCCACCCCCATTCCAACCCTTTCCCCAAAGTCCCTGCCCCCTCCTCTGAGCACCCCGCATTCCCCCTCCTCCCTCCCGCTCTGATCTTGGTTGGGGGTTGCTAAGTGCTTCCCTGCTCCCCACTTGCCCTGCAG